TAAAGATTTGTACCCTTTTCTTTATTAATGTAAAATACATAGGGGAAAATGACATCAGGTCAAGAAAATAAGAGAATGAAGTGATGGGGATGTAGCTCAGAGGTAGAGCTTGACTAGGATGCATAAGATTTAGGCTTAGATCTCAGGCAAAGCAAAGCATGAGAGAGAGAGAGAGAGAGACAGAAGGAGAAAGCTTGGAGCTTTTATAAATCTCATCTGCACTGGAGGCTGGCACAGAAATAATAAAAAATTAATAGGAGCACAAAATGTATGCATTTGCCTGAGGATTGTAATTATCTCAGAAAAAAAAGGCAAAAGTGTAAAAATATGTCCAGGAATTCAACACTGATAGCTATGTCCAATGTTAGGACCCTAGTCCAGATCACAATACCTCATCTGGATTGTTGCAATTGCCTTCTAAACATCTCTTGAACATGAATCTGAGAATAAAGCTATTGTATCAATTAGGATTCAATCAGAGAAGCAGAAGTACTAGGGAGAATATGGAATATGGGCATTATTATAAAGAACAGAACTTTTGCAATTGTGGGAGCTGGGGAAGAAGTCCACAGAATGCTGCTGTCTCTGCATCTGATAGTTACCTAAGAGCACTGCCTATTGGTTGGCCTAGTGATAAGGAAGAAAGACTGGACAGGTAGTGGGGAGAGTGGAGAAGGACTGACTCTTTGTCCATCCCTCACCCCTTCCAACTTGCACAATGTGGGTGATCTGCGGAAGAAGCTGACAGCCTGTCAAGGACTGCATGCCCTTAGCCCAGTGCTAAGAGAAGCTGAAGGAGGGGACCTGGCAGAAACACGAGTGGCCACAGGCCCAATCAGGATATCAGGACCATAGGGCGAGTCAACAGGTCACCTGCTATGTGGGAGAGCTATAGCCACAATAGGGGCCACCTTTACCTTCAGAAAACATGAATGCTGCTGCACTTCAAACTTCTAAATATGGGATAAGTATCTCTTTGGCCAACTATAACCAGAAAACACTTGGGAAAGGAGTTCTGGAAATATAGTTCTAACTTAGCTAAATTGAAACCACCAGTCATCATTCCCCTGCCCAAATGTTCTGATGGATCTCTATCTCTTTTAGGGTAAAAGCTAACATAATTATATTATATTATATTATGACAGCACTTTACATGAGCTGCCACTTACAAACCCTACTCCTGCCTCACTCTCATTTTCCCCTGCAGTCACAATGGTAACTGTGCTACCATTAGCACCAATAACTTTTCTTATTCAACAGGGTTCCTCAACCCTCTACATTATAGCCAAGAGCTGTATGCATTACTTACTCCCTCAAGTCATGGATTCTGTTCAAATGTCAGTGTAAGAAAGAGATTTCCTGGCAAGATCATTAAAATCTGAAGTACTTAGGGCTTTCCATCTTCCCCTCATACCCATTACCTTTCTTTTTTATTTATAAGGATTTTCCTTTAATATAAAAATATAACTACAGAAGTACAATGTACAAATGCAAACAATTCTCATACTAAAAACATACCATGTATTGTACATACAAAAACTGTTCAACAAGAATGATTTAAATATATCAATTGTTCTCTGGATCTGGGAGATTGGGAGACACAAATATTAAATTCTTCAACTGTATTACTGTTGAGAGCACTGTGCACCTGGGAACACTGTTTCTCCTCTCCCCACTCATCTCAGTCCCACTTTCAGGATGCAAACAGCATCCCTGAAGTTAACCAGAAGCAAATGTTTTCCCAATTGAAGTCATTATTCAGCGAGCCCTTGCTTACCATAAACAAGGAAAAGCCCAAGGTTTAAGCCAGACCAAACAAGATTAAGTCCAGATGGAGTCTTCCCATCCCCACCCCGTTTTGGTACTAGCTTCATTTTGGTTGGATGAAGCTTTTGACCTCATTTTGCCTTCCCTGCTAGACCCATGGGGATTGCTTTGGTGATGATAGGCATGAATTACTAGATCCAAACGTTCCCAGCTATATTAGTTTCTTAGGTCAGCTGGGAGGTGTCCCAGGGCTGTCAGACTGCAGTTTCTGGGCTACGTTGGCTTTGTATTTCTTATAGACTATCTTAGCATTGGAAAATTCAATGTACTGGATTTGATGGTTTGACAGCAGTGTCAAGTGGATGGTGAAAAGAGAATTACCCAGGTCTTCAAGGTCCCTCCTCTTGCTGTATAGTGTGTCTCAAATGGTCCCAAATGCTAAATGAGGCATCTCTCAAATGACAAGCAATCGGCAGAGACCTGAACACCCGACTTTCTCAGAAGAACGATGGTCTTTTCAGAGGGTCTAGAAATAAAGCTGCCAGTCTGTCTTAGGAGGGTAAGGAAGTCTGCTCCACACATAAGATTGGTGGACTTGGAAAGCCATGTAGAAATATTCATTTTCCTATTGCAAAACCCACTTCAAATACAGTCCTTTCCAGCAATGGCAGCACTTAGATTTTTATGTGCCCAGATTTCCAAATCCATCACTGGCCATCATGCTTGGGTTTGGGTGTCTGCTCTTTTGTCCTTTTTCACACTGTAATGCCATCTCTGGATACATTGTGGGATCCTCTTCATGGTCATCCTCTGCTTCTTCCAGATCCCAGTGCTGTTTTCAACATATTGCTTAGGGTTTGCTCTTAGCTGCCTCCTTGTCTACCTCAACAGGTTATGAATGGCATATCACAGGGACATCACAGATGCAGTTGTCCCCAGGAGGACCTGGAACATTGAGAGGTGTTCATGGCTGAGCAGTGCAAAGGCATCACTGCAGATGTCCTCCCAGCCCGGCTGGTCTATGTTACACAACTTTGCTTTGCTCATCATAATAGATGGGCTCCCCTCCTACAGCTATTGGAAGGATTGGGAAAACACCAATACAGTGACCATCTCGTGCACAGATATAAAGTAACTGTGGATCCCAGAAAGCACCAAGTCATGGTGATCAGATTGGTTTATCTGGTGGTCCAGAACTTCTGTTATTCACTTTCTTTTTACTCTTCTTTTACTAGCATACATTATAGTACAAGAGGGTTTCATTGTGATAATGCCATACAAGCAGTGTACCTTGAACAAGTTCAAAATTTCCTTAGGGAAATTATGTTTTGTTTGCAACTTTCCCAAATTCTCACAGCCAGTGGTGTCCCTGGAGCTGCCTCCTCAGTCTGGACTCTACCAGTCTAGTTGGTTATCACTCCAAGGGCCCCAGGTTACCATTATCTTCACTACTATCCTCACCTCTGTCCTTACCTGAGTCTGAACAACTTCTGCCACCCGTACCTGCAGAGAGACCAACCCATCATCTTTCAACAGAGAGATTATTGCCTTCTGAAATAACACAGGGTGACAACATTCTCATTGAACATTTCTGGCTTCTCCAAGTAGAATCGAAATGCCTTAAGGACAGTTATGTTTTCCTATTTTATTTGTCACTCTATCCAATATCACTTATGACAGGGACGAGAATATTGTAGCGAACAATTAAATATCCATGACAAAATAAATAAATGAACTGAAGTGTGGCTCCACCTCCTGTACATGATTACTAAATGAGGACAACTATTCCTAGGTCTCAGGCCTATTCTCTTCACTTCTGAATTTCCCTTTCTCTCAGTTCATCTCTCCCTAACTTCTGTTACTAATATATGTCACAAGTGTCTTTCCAAACAAGCCTGCTGCCTGAGCTCTACACGTGCACAAGTGTGTGACATATGGCTTGTGTGACTCAGGTGCCTTAGAGACACAAAAACTCCATGTGCTAAAATGAGTGTATGTCATCTTTACACCCAAACTGTAGGTTCCTGAGGAAGTTTCCCCAACACCAGGAGACACCCCATCACCAAACCCCTTGCTCAGTGAGACACCTGAGTCATCACCCACTCCAGCTTTCCTCAGACAACTCTTCATGAAACAACTGCTGAGTCTGGTCCATGCTTCCTCCTGAAAGAATCATCACATGAGTGCGGTACACTTGATGCTGGTGTCCACTGTCTGTATCACGGTCAGCATCCCCTTGAGCTGGTTATTTCAAACATCTCTTAATGCTTTCATATTTGTACTCACTCAACCCAATAAATTATGTTCATTATTGTTAGGAAAACTGGATATTCATTAAAGGTCCACATTTTTTTGGATAAAATCCTTAAATTGCCTGAGGTTACTGCTGATATTTCTGGTAGATTCCTAACCTAATCTGTAAGGCCTGACAAGTTGTCTTTGCACCCCAATTCGATTACCTCAGCTCACACCAAATTCTCTTTTTGTTTGTCTGACCAGGTACATGGAGTGTTTCAGTTTTTGGAATCATCCACATTCCTTTCTGCAAATCTTGTTCAAACATGTTTTCCAGTTTTCCTAAAGTACCTATGATGGCTGCTTCCTCCTCCAAAATATTCAGGGAGCATCCAAAACTGCACACACACACGTGTCAAAAGAAAATTAGAACATATGGAGTTTAAAGACACTTTTATTTGTGATTCTAGAAACAGCCAAAGCCTTACTCTATAAAACAAAATGATATCCTGATTAGCTGAGGAGAGGAAGTTAACTATATAGACACAAAGGAACAGAAGAAAGGAAAAACGGAGGACAACTTGGCCACTAGCTCTCACACTCTGGATTTCTTGGAAGGTCAGATAAACAACTTAGTTTTGACTTGGCAATGTGGGAATTTAGCATTAGTCACTCCATTTTGCATTGATCTGTTGAGTGTCACATACAGCTAAGCTCAAACCAATGGCCTCCTACACACTGAATGTAACAAAGGTCCTGAGCTATACATACCCAGAGCTCCTCATTGAAGAAACCTGTGCAGATGTGAGCATGTAATCATTTCTGCAGCTGTTTCCTTCGTGTCTGGATTCCCACAGGCTTCATTGCAGCAGACACCTTGCCTGTCCACTACTGCATGTAAAATACTCTCAATACAGAGAAGGCACTTCACAGTGTGCAATGAACAGATGAGGGATATTGACAATGCTGTCTATAGTTGGATAAATTCTACAACTTTCTCAGCAGAAAGAGCAGAGACTGAAGACATGGTTGTCTCTTTTTAAGAGCAAAAAGGGGCTGAAGGTTGGAAAACAAGATGATAGAATCACAATGATGTTTACAAGCCATGTCTGTGGATTGTCAAAAAGAAAAGCATACATTTCAAAAGCAGAAGAGAGAGAATAAAATAAGACAAAAGTGCTCACAAGTGTCAAGATAGATTTTGTGGCTCTGGTCTCAGGGGATATTTGGAGAGTTTGTCTAGAAGTGTGAATGTAGCGAACTTGCTGTTTGTGCTTGTGAAGGAAAAAGATTATAGATCCACCAGCCCATATCATGACTCCCAAACAAATAACATCTATTAAAGAGAAAATAAATGACCATAATGATTCTATAATTGTATCTATGTATAGACGAGAACAATATCTAAGGTTTGAATTCACAGTGGTATTTATGTTACTTCTTTTTCCAGTCACTTTCATGGGAATGATGATATTCACTAGCAGATGAAACATCCCACTCAGGACACAGGCAGAATTAATACGCTTTAGGAATCTGAATTTGACTTCTGCCCATCTGGAGTTTGTAGGGTTGATACTTAAAGCCTGGAAGCTACCTAAAATACAGGTGATGCTGAGAGAATTTCCCCAGGCCACTCTGTAAAAATATAAGACAAGTTTACAACCAAAATCATCCAAGAAATACTGCAGCCCAAAGGCTGCCATTGTCTGAGGGATTCCTCCACAAAGAATCCACAATGTGTTGGCTAAAGCAAGACAGGTGGTTATTTTCTCCAATGGTTTCAATCCATGTCTCCTATATAGAAAGTAAATACAAGGGCAAAGGAGAGAGGCGTTCCCCATGATCCCTATTCCAGTCTGAGTGAGGAGAACCATCCCCATCACCACATCAAGAGAAATCATTGCCTCAGTGACTGAGGTTGGATGATTTTACTCAGAGTCAGGAATCTGGAGGAAGAAAGCAGAAGTGACACGTGAATTTCTCCAAGTCATATGAAATATAGCTTTCACTGTCATTTCTTTAAAGTCTTTTTTTTCTGGAATCCATATTCTAGATCCACACATAATAACCCCATCTCTGAAGGATTCCTTCCCCCCTTATCATCTACTGTTCTCTCTGGGTACTTAGAAAAACTGAAGTTGGATTACCTCATATCTGTTGCAGTAAGTCAAATTCCTCCCATAGAAACATAAGAGGCATGAATGTAAGAATTCTTTATCACTTGTTTTCAGGTCATCTGAAGTCCAGAACAACATGTTACAGTCATTCCATGTCTGTTGCATGAAGAAATATATGAAGAAATGAATGGAGCTGTCATTTATATATCGAAAATTATTTCAAGATGTTATATACCTTAATAGAGACTTCACATAAGATCTAGATTCTCTACTCAAGAGTTCAAAATACTTAATGTACAAAGCTTACTAATTATGCTATTCAAAACTCTACAATCTTAGCCTGGTGCCATGGTTTAAGCCTGTAATCCTAAGTATTTGGGAGGCCGAGATCAGGAAGAACATATTTACAGGCCAGCCCAGGCAAAAGTTTGAGAGAAACTGTGTCAACCAATAGCTGGGTGCAGTGGTGCATGCCTGTCATCCTATAAACAGTGGGAACATAAAATAGGAAGATTATGGTCCAGGCTGGTCTGAGCAAAAAACGAATTCTGTCTAAAAAATAATAAGAGCTGAAGGGCTGGATTTTATTATCTTCAAAGATTATTAAAATATCATAGAAGCAATATGATAGTAAATTTCCCAAATATGCAAAATCAAATAGCACACTGCATATGAAAACTGAAATTCTTAGGAGTAAATTGTATCAGTGATGTGCTAAAAATATAAAATTAAAACACCAAGTAGTAGTAGTAGTAAAGAAATCTTGAATGAAAAAGTGAAATTCACATTGCTAGTTGCAAAGACACGATATGCTGTCAAGCTTTGAAAGTTTCTCAACAAGCTACAGATTCAATATCAAAGTCACCAGAGAATTTGTTGGGAGCTAGACAATTTGCATCAAATTTTAAATATTGCATAAGAAAAGTCATGTCATTTTCTCACTTTGTTATCAAATTTTTCAAACATACAGAAACAACAACAACAAAAGGATTTGCAATATTTTAAAATAAGATTTGTGAGAGGTATTTAATAAATGACCCAACCAAACCATTTTTAAAAAAAAATAATGAACTGGATGAACCTACCCAATTTCCTAAAAATAATACAAGCAATTAGTGTGTGATAACATGAAGCATAGTCAAATATATCAGTGACTCAGAATGAAGTGTCCAGGAAAAATAATAAATAAGAAATAAAAAAATGAGTGTGAAGGACCCAAAAACCAGGGAAATGATTTGGGAAGTGTTAAGCTGAAATGTCATATCAAATCTTACAGACAAATTTCAGAAAATAACAAAGAATCAGGAAGATCAGGAAACTGTCATAAGGAGAAGCAGCACCTGCCAAGTGACAGGGAGGAGAGCTACGTGGCTGATAAGAAACCCTGTGTGCGCTGGAGCACACAGTGCAGATAGGGAGGCCTTTCTTAGGTCCAGGTGCACTGAGGCTCTGTGAGATTACACTAAGTCCTGAAACCCTTGTTTGCACTGACCCTGTGCTGACCACTGCCCTGATTTCTCATGTGGAGTCCATCTGAATTGTCTGATTATCCAACCAGTATCAAATCGCAGAAACGAGCTCTTAGACTCACGTATGCTATGGCAAGTGTGGCCCAGCTGTGAGGACATCCACCAGAAAACATGCCCTCTACTGTAATTAGGTCTGGCATTTACTCCAAGAGGTATTGCTTTGATTGGAAGGTCAGGCTCTATAACAACATGTCATTTCCTGGTACACCAACGCTAATGAAGTTTCAGGCAAAATGTTGACATTTCCATGCAATGAACACACAGACGTTTTCAGTACCAATGAATTACCCAAGTTCAGTGTCACCCAGTGAAGGGCTAGTGGAAACAAAAGTTCTTACCATGTACTTAAGATATTCTGTGCTCCAGACCTATAATTTCCCCTACCTTATGTTGAATTCATCTTGACTCCATGCTGAAAGAAAAACAGATTAAGAATAAATGAAAGAACACAGTGGAAAATCAGACAGGGCTACACATGGAAAGAATGGAGAAAAAACACTGCAGGTGAGTTGATAAGAGACCCTGCTGTGGTTGAAGAAAAGCCCTGCACATCGAAGACAGGCTCTATCATGACCCTTGTACATCTCCCAAAAAGGCATTGTGGTTGGGACATTGTGTAGATTTTCTTCTCTGAATATTCACCCTTCTTATGTCCTGGACAATTTCTAAGTCTAAAATACAACTCCACTCACCTCTGTTCCAGAAACTTGTGCCTGATGTTTACCAGAGTTGTCACAGGAGGGGAAACTAAACCCTCAGTTATAGGTTTCGTTCCTTGATTCCATCTCTCTCTAGAGCTGTGATAATTGGGTTATTTCTACTATCACTGACAAGACCTACAAGGAAAGTCTCTCAGCATGTTTTTTATTCGTGGTAATTATCCAGATTAATTGGATGTTTACAAAGACTAACTCAGGATGCTGTCGGAGGTAGCTGGAAGAAAAGTTTTTTCTGCACTTCCTATAGGCATGAGGTCCAAGATCTTTGAGTTGTTAAAAATGAGGGATTTGAGAAGACTCACACAACCCTGTCTATGTTATTAAAAAAAAAGAACTTTCACATGATAAAGCAAGAACACACAAGGAAGGTATGAAGATAGGTTAGATACCCAAAAAACTAGGTAGCATTTGTTGCCCTCAATGCAGAGAAACTAAAGCAGATACTTTAAAGCAACTGAGGCCAATAAGAGAAGAGGACCAGGAACTAGAGAAAAGGTTAGTTAAAGAAGAATTAACTTAGTGGGTAGTAAGGGAGGGGGTGGGGGCATGGAGAAATGACCCAAGCCTTGTATGCACATATGAATAATAAAAGGAAAAAAAAAGAATTAACTTAGAAGGTAACACACATGCACAGGAAATTAATGTGAGTCAACTCCCTGTTTGGCTATCCTTATCTCAACCAGCAAAAACCCTTGTTCCTTCCTATTATTGCTTATACTCTCTCTTCAACAAAATTAGAGATAAGGGCAAAATAGTTTCTGCCTGGTAGCGAGGGGTTAGGGTGGGTAAGGGAGGGAGCGGGGGGGAAGGGGGTAGAAATGACCCAAACATTGTATGCACATATGAATTTATTTATTTATTTATTTTTTCATTTTTCTTTTATTATTCATATGTGCATACAAGGCTTGGTTTATTTCTCCCCCCTGCCCCCACCCCCTCCCTTACCACCCACTCCACCCCCTCCCTTACCACCCACTCCACCCCCTCCCGCTCCCCCCCTCAATACCCAGCAGAAACTATTTTGCCCTTATCTCTAATTTTGTTGTAGAGAGAGTATAAGCAATAATAGGAAGGAACAAGGGGCTTTGCTGGTTGAGATAAGGATAGCTATACAGGGCATTGACTCACATTGATTTCCTGTGCATGGGTGTTACCTTCTAGGTTAATTCTTTTTTAATCTAACCTTTTCTCTAGTTCCTGGTCCCCTTTTCCTATTGGCCTCAGTTGCTTTAAGGTATCTGCTTTAGTTTCTCTGCATTAAGCACATATGAATTTAAAAAAAGCAAAAAAAAAAAAAAAAAGAACTTTGAGGGGTCCATACTCTAGAAGAAAACTCTTAGGTTCCTAAAAATCTGAGGAATTCCACTGACCAAATATTTGGTAGAAAAAGAGGCTTTCCATTGTCAGAGTGTTGCAACTGTTGGCTCAGAACTCACTTAAGAGGTAAAATAAATGAGTTGAGGCTGAGTAGTGGAAAGTCAGCACACTATGCATCGAGAATCTATGGGCGGGAGAAAACAGAGGGGCACAAAGACCATTTTCTCAATGAATGCAGCTGTAAAAGAGAATCCAGAACTTCACAAGGTTCGGGGATAGTTTGAATACTAATGGTAGCTGGAAGCATGGTTCAAGCTGTGGAATGCCTGCCTAGCAAGCACAAAGCCCTGAGTTCAAACCCAAGTACCACAAAAACAAACAAACAAACAAGCACTAATCGTAAGAACTGCTAGATTAGATCAGGATTCTTTTTGTTTTTGAGACACAGTTTTATTATATATCTCAGGCTGACCTCAAATCTCTATGTAGCTCACTTAGGACTGATAGGAGGAACTATCAGTCCTCCTACCTCAATCTCCAGAGTGCTGAGATTATAGGCATATGCTACCACACACAGCTTAGATCAGGATTTTTTGAATCTCTGTAAACATGGTTAATATTAGTTAGATTAAGGCTCACTGTTAGCTTAACAAGAATAAGATCCATGGCAGAAGTAAGGAAATTAATCTTCATATTTCAGAGGATGGAGCAACCATTTAACATAAATGTAGGTAATAAGAAGGTGTGAAGTGAGGATCAATCTGCAGGCTGGAAGGATTTTAACAGAGGGTAGGAAGTTCACTAGGAAGCAGGAGAGAAAAAAAAGAGACAGGAAAGCAGATCTATTTGAGCAGAGTTGAGAGCACTAGATAAGGGCAAAGACTTGAAAGATAAAACCAAAGAGATCTTTTGGAAACAACCTTAGCAGGAATTCAGGTGATTTGCTGCTAATGAAATACTTATGGCTGATACCAATCTTTCAGTTGTGTATTCATCTGCACATAACTTACACAGAGCAGCTATTGGAAAAATTAGTCACTAGATCTGAAATTTTTCCAGCCCAGAGTCATGGAATGGCAGTCAGAAAGAAATCATGGATGTTGAAAGAGACTGAAAGGATTAACCAAAAATTATGGTAAGGAGAGAAAGAAAGATTGGTGTATACTGGCATGACCCAAAAGTAAGAATGTGTATCAATCCCCCAACATTCAAAGAGAAA